CACTGTATATGCTCAAAAGATTTTAAAAGAAGTATTCAAATACTTGTGCATGAATGTTCATGGGAACACTATTAACAATAGCTGAACGGTGGAAATAACTCAAATATCCATCAATGGTTGAATAGAAAGACAAAATGTGCACATCCAAATAATGGAATATTACTCAGACATACAAAAGGAATAAAGTACTGAAATATGTTACAATGTAGATGAATCCCAAAAGCATTATGCTAAGTGAAAGAAGCTAGATGCAAAAGGTCACATATACTATCATTTCACTTACAGGAAACATTCAGAAGAAACAAATCCATACAGATGGAAAGTAGATGAGTGGTTGGCAGGGGCTGGGATGGGGACAATAGGGAGCGATTGCTTAATGGGCCCAGGATTTATTTTAGGGGTGATTAAAATGCTTTGGAATGAGATAGAGGTGATGGTTGTAAAACATTCTAAAGGTACGAAATGCTGCTTATTTCTACCTTTAAACATGTTTAAGTCCATGTTGTGTTTAACTTAATCTAAATTTTAAAATGTCCAGTGAGGAAGAAATTAGTATTATGCCTGTTTTACAGGTGAAGACATTAAGTCATTTGCCCAAGGCACTCAACTGCAAGAGGAGGAGCTGGAATTTGTACCCAGGCACCTTGACTTGCAGTATAGATGTGTTTGACCACAAAGACATGCTTTAGACTCTGCAGACTGTAGCGTAGATTTTGGTACATAGTGTGTTCTTAAAAGATGTAAGTTTCTCTCCCTTTTGCTCCCTTTGCAAGCAGGAACTGTATCTGACTCCACTGGACTTTCACATTGCCAATTGCAGGGAGAACAAAGACAGCCAACGTGCGTTTTTGTCTCTTTCTCTTGTCTCCTGCTTAAGGTTTCTGTTCTCTCGTCTTCTACCGAGCCAGGCTTTAAAAATATACTCCATTGTGAAACTGAGCATGCAGAAGGAAATGTGGCATGGAGCTGAAGAAAACATTCATGATCCAAAAAAAATTTTTTTTTAAAAAGTCCAGACCTGCACTTTTCTAAATGATGTAGGAGAAAAATAACGGGCCAGAGGAGAGAAGCCTGATGTGTTCCCTCGGGTCCGTAAGATTTATCACCTACACATGCAGGATGCTACAGCAAGGAGATCTAGCGACCACAGCAATAACTCACAAGCCAGCCATGCAGCCTGCTGCTTGCTGATAGCACCTGCATTGCGTGGCCCCCAGATCATCTGGAAGTGTCATGCTGGGTGGGGCCTTATTTCTAACAACCCCCTCCCGCTACACTTCAGACTCACTGTCTGCAGCAGTGGTGCAGTGCACTGGGAATTGGAGAGGACAGTATTTCTGTTGTTGATTTTACTATGGGTAGAAAAAAATGTGCATTCTCTCTCACAATAGCGATGGGGCAGGGCTGGGGGGGAGACAAAGCAAAACTAACAAAAACAACCCAAACTGTTAACCTTCTATTTGGGGAAATATTTCACTCTCCTCTGAGGAGGAAACAAAAAACGCTCAAATAATTAGAGAGGTTTAGGGCTGGAATATTCCTTAAAGAATTGGCACTATATTTGCAGGTATTTTAATGCATTTTTAAAAATACCTAGAATAGGCTGGGCATGGTGGCTCACACCTATAATCCCATCACTTTGGGAGGCCTAGGTAGGTGGATCACTGGAGGCCAGGAGTTCAAGACCAGCCTGGCCAACATAGTGAAACCCTGTCTCTACTAAAAATAGAAAAACTTAGCTGGACATGGTGGCTCACACCTATAGTCCCATCTACTGGAGACGCTGAGGCAGCAGAATGGCTTGAACCCAGGAGGTAGAGGTTGCAGTGAGCCAAGATCACCCCCCATGCTCCTGCACTCCAGCCTAGGTGATGGAGCGAGACTCGATCTCAAAAAAAAAAAAAATCAAAAAACCCTAAAATACTCTTCATATAAGATGCCCAAATAGTAAATGGATTACAGAGAATCAAACAGATATAAAATAATGATTTGGTTTTCAGTGGTGGAAATTTGTATCATTTCAGTATAAACATAAACAAAGTCATCATAAATGCAACTGAAAATAATTTTGAACACATGGATGATGAAATGTATTCTGATTCTCCTTACTTACTTCCCAAAAAGTCCTTGTAAAATGAGAGTAATTTCTTCTATACTTCTGATTCTTGCATATCAGAAAATCTGGTAGTTGAATATCTGATCTGTTTCTTGTCGCCTCTTTATAACATTTTCTGCAATCATTCATTCATTCAGTAATTACCATGTATTGATGAGGTTGTGGGAGCTTATGATTTAATAAGGGAGGCACATAACCATGGGGAGCATGTTTTAATATCTGCTGGGCTCTCCTGTGTGGGTTTTTCTATTCCTCTCATTAGCAGGTTCTGCTCCCTGGGCACAGAGGAGGCCATGAGTTGAGAATGGGTTGTGCCTGTATTCTGGAATCTCAGCCTTCTGGGAGCAGTGACTATTATATGCTCTGGTGGGCTCTCTGGAGTTTTCGGGAAGAAGATGAGATATTTTACCAAGAATGTCTGTTGAAAATACTCTTTGCCTTCCAACAGCCTTCACCTGAAGCACTTTGAAGATTCTAAATAACTTCCACAGCCTAAAGCTGATCATTTTTAACCTAAGGGGCGGACAAAGTCCCACCGCCATTACCTCTGTGGTGTGATTTCAGGAACCAGGTAAAGTTGCTTCCCCAAATACGATGACCAGTGTCTGAGAGGACACCAATAGAGATGGATTTCTTTGGGCTATTTATTGCTTTTGTTTTTTATTTTCTCCACTCAAGAGAAAACAAAGATGGCAGAAATAGTCATTCCAGCTTTTCCGTTTGTTATTGGCTGGCACTGGAAGCAAGGAAACTGGGCCAGGGCCTTTGCTGTCAGCTCAGACAGGCCAGGCCAGAATTCCCATTCCATCCCAGGTGTGTGATGCTGGGTACCTCTTTTGTTTAACTCCTGAAAGTCAGAGGTCTCTTGCGATGCCTGCTACATGGAGTTGTTCCGTGGATTGAAATAGCTGATGGGTTTATAGTCTTAGAGCAGTATACTGAGTCTTGGGCAGATATCTCAGTCCTGTCTCTTAATAGTTGGGTGATCTTGGACAAACAACCGTTCTGTACCCGAGTTTCAGTGATGCGCTAAACCAGCTTGTGCTGGTTCACCAGTGCTGAATATTGTTGAATATTCATACATCTTGTGAGCAGGTTTTTACATTGTTGGCAAATTGAAATTGGGCCATGGTGGGAGCATTTACACCAGAGAAATCAGCAAACACTACACAGTAGGGCTCTGCCTCCCACCTCCCCACCAGAGAACTGATTCACCTGCACACTATTCCTTAGTTCCTTTGTGAATTTCTTGCAATAATTATAATCAGATAATTTACATAAAGGTCTCAGCACAGTGCCTGGCATTTAAGAAGGTTCTCATTAAAAGACAGTTACTCCAATGACTACTATACTACCAACAATAATTAAGCAATAATTATGTTGTTATAAGACCTTGAACACAGTAGGTCCTTGAAAAACCTCAATCCCTTCTCTATATATTCATTATTACAGTTTCTAAAAAGCTCTAAGGGAATCTATGCAAACGTAAAGACGTCAAGGAAACAATTTGTCTCGAGTCTCACTTTCCACCAAAGTGGAATTTTACTCCGTCTCATTAACCACAACTCAGGGCGGACATTTGGACATATGCATAGCCCATAAACAGAAGCCAAATATAGTCTCCATCCTCACTTTCTCCATCCCGTTAAGTGTTAAACTTTGGCTGCTGCTATAACTGAATGACTGGGGGTTCTCTTCTTACCATCATGAGGCTGTCAACACTCACGGTGGGCCCTGCAAAGTATAAGGGACAGTTTATCCACAGAGCAGTGGCAGCATCATTGTTTATGAAATGATAACTGCTTCAGGTAGCAGCAAGTTCCGACATTAGCACAACAAAAGCTTTGAGCTGGACCATCTGTTGCCACGTGGACAATCTGGTGGGCTTGCCAGAGCCATTTATCCGTGTCGAGTACATATCCACACTGGCCAGTCCTCATGCAGAGCAGAAAGGAAATTTAAAGAAAGGCTCATCATTTATCATTGCAGACAGCTGGGCTGGAGTGTGGGCAGAGAATTATTATTATTTTTTTTCCCTTGAGAAAAACAAAGACCCTGAAGATGGGCAATGCCTGCTCAGCTCTAAGCTTCTTTCTAACCACAGTCCCTCCAGCGTACTCCTTTCTTCCTGCTTTTCCAGATTGTGGAAGAAAGGTGTAGCCATGGATGCCTGCTTCCCTACCCCTAAATGTCATAACCAGGTGGCACCTGGGGTTCTTTGGCTTCGAGCTGGAGTGAGCACGTTTATTGATGCCTCCTGAAAGGGAACTCTAAAATTGCACCTTTCTGCCATTGTCAATGAAAGCATCTGCTGCAAAGATTGCTGACTTCGGAGCTCACAGACCACAGCGTGTGTGCAGGGCCTGTCTGCTGGGTCCTGAGTTCACTGGAACATGTGAACTCACTTCTCTGAAGCTCAGCTTCATGCTCTTCAACATGGGGATAATAGCTTCCACCTTGGCGTGCCATTCGTACATGCAAGGTCGCATTCTGATGTCATAGTCCCCCTCTCCACAATATTGAGCAGCATATTTCAAGGCAAGGATATTGAGATTATATATCAGGACAGTTTCTTTAACCTAAAGTTGATTCTTTTTTTCTGTTTTTAAAAGAAATGAAAACATTGTCTTAGACTCTGAAAATTATTGTGAGCCTTAGACACAGTGCCTACTGTACCTAATGGATAAGTTGGCTCTGCGTGTGTGTGTGTGTGTGTGTGTGTGTGTGTGTGTGTGTGTGTGTGTGTTTGAAATGAAGTACTGTGGATGAAAGCACCTGGCATAATTGTTAGCAAAAGCACAACAAGGTGGTTAAACTCACAGTCTAGAAACTGGGATTTCTTTCTTTCTTCTTCTTTTTTTTTAATTTGAAATGGAGTCTCCCTCTGTCACCCAGGCTGGAGTGCAGTGGTGTGATCTTGGCTCACTGCAACCTCTACCTCCTGGGTTCAAGTGATTCTCCTGCCTCAGCCTCCCAAGAAGCTGAAATTATAGGCACGTGCCATGATGCCTGACTAGCTTTTCTATTTTTAGTAGAGACCTGGTTTCACCATGTTGGCCAGGCTGGTCTCGAACTCCTGACCTCAGGTGATCTGCCTGCCTTAGCTTCCCAAAGTGCTGGGATTACAGGTGTGAGCTACCACGCCTGGCCGAAACTGGGATTTCTGATGTCAAATTCTGTCTCTTTTGCTTACAAGCTATGTAAGTTTAGACAAGCTACTTTATATCTATATATAATATAGAAAATTAGATAATTAGATATGAGATATATGTATACACATATATCTGCATATATTTGCATACACATGCATACACACAAATGTTCCTTGATTTACAATGTCATTACATCCTAATAAACCCCTTGTATATATCTAACTTCATAACCAAATGTCATAGCTCAGCCTAACCCACTTTAAATATGCTCAGAACACTTAGATTAGCCTACCATTAGGCATCTAGCATTAAGCCTATTTTATAAAAAAAGTGTTGTATGTCTAATGTAATTTGTTGGATATTGTACTGATGGTAAAAGAAACAGAAGGGTTGCATGGATATTTGAAGTAGGGTTTCTACTGAATGTATTACTTTTGCACCATCATAAAGTTGAAAAACCATAGGCTGAACCATTGTCAGTTGCATCGTGGTAAGTCGGGGACCATCTGTATAATATAAATATATATACATACAGCCTATAAATATATATACAGACGGTCCCTGATTTACAAGCTATATAACTTACATGTATATCTCTCTATATAGGAATATAGATATATTTCTCATAGCTATTTATATAGATGAATTTATATATATATGGGTATATATGAAATGGGTAAAACATGACGACTACTAGTACTGCCACCTACCTGCCTCTAAGGGTGATCGTGGGCATCGTATGAATTAGTTAATATACATCTTTTAAGGCAGTTGCCTGAAATCTAATAATTCTTTGCTAAACGTTAGCTCCTCTTTGACTCACTTTGCTAACTATGTTATTTATAGGACAGCGGCCACATTGAGAAACAGCGGACATTGTGGTCAAGAGCAGAACCTCTGGAGTCAGAAGAACTTCATGAAGAAGGGTTAAATTACTTGAGACAACACTACTGCTGCATGGAGGTCTCACCTCAAACCATTCTGTGCTGCAGTATTTTTTTTTAACCAAATCTCATTTAAATGACCAGTGTTGCACATATACAAAAGTGGATAGCTGGCTAATGATGCATGAGCACATTTTATAGGAATCCACTTGACCTGCAAGGGATCAATTCCATGATTTGATTAAAGGCTTAACCTTTCAGAGTCCAGCTTTGACCCCGTGTTCACAGAGAAATCTCCAGAGCTGATAGATTCTGACATTTAAGAGTTAGATTTAAGGACAGGTGATATTCCATTTTCCGTTTTCCCAGTAGAAATGAAATAGATCCAGCTGCACCATTAATTAGCTGCATTGCTTCGTATAACTCTCATATGCTCTCTTGGCCTCAGTCTCCCCATTGGTAAAATAATAGGCTTAGGCTTAGGAGGCATATTTATAACTTGGCTTCTCAGATATTGGGGTTTTATAAAGGACTTCCAGTGGCTTCTGGGGAAGTCCAGTGGGAAAGACCCTGTCCTCACTTCTCTCGAAAGCTCCATTGTCATTGCTGTAACTTCTTGGATTTCACGTAAGATATGAGTTCAACAAAAGTTTTATGGCAAAAAAAAAAAAAAAAGGTGCACCAAGCCCTAGACTAGATGACACCTCTATTTAATACTAATGATGATATTTGGAAGCAGTAGGGCAAGTGTTAAATTAAACTGAACAGGAACACACATAAGCTTCTGCACCAAATCCCCCAAAGGAAGTCCAAGTAGAGGCTAAGGATGTACTTAGAGAAACACAAATGAGAGGTACTTAGGTGTTTTGGCTGGGAAAAGGTCAGTATGAAGTAAGATTATGCTATCACAAGAAAACAAGTCAAAGTGGCTGTCAGCGAAAGCAACGACCAGCATCACCATCGTAAACTTGTGTTTGAGGGTTAAACTAACAGGAAGAACATCTTCAGAACCAGAAAGGTAAATTTCCTTCCCTACTTCCTCCTGGTGAGACCATACTCTATGTATCCTGACTTCATGTCATTGCAGTGGTATTTCACGGTCTTTGATTAATTAGAAGTTCCAGGAATATTCACATCCATTCCAATCAAGCCCCACTTCTCAAAGTTCCCTGGGAGGTTAAAGGACAATAGTCAGATGTTAAAATCAAAATCATCCTGAGATTTGCTTCCAGAGTGTGACAATTTGTTCTAAGTGTGTTGCACTGATTATTTTGTTAAATCTCATTTAATCTTCATAGCCACCACATGAAGTACATTCTATTACATCCATTTTTTTTTTCAGAGAAGGAAATTAAGGCACAGGAATGTGAAGTAATTGAATCAACATTACACATCAAGAGGCAGAGCAAATGGAAATACAAGTATGAATTTGTAACTGCATAGGTCCAGGCCAAAGAACCTCTTTGAAGGAGCTATCTTGAAGCTTTTGGCTTTATCTTGAAGCCTAGGCAAGTTCTTTGCCTGCTCCTTTAAACGTGAATATGAACTGAGGCATCTTTCCATATCTGGCCAGCCACATGATACAGGAAGTTAAAGCAATGACCTTTTAGATTATGCAAGACAAAAAGAGTAGCAATCCTGAATGCTCCCATGAAATCAGGCAGCCATGAACCGTTTACTTTTTGTGAAATGATGGCAGAAATACAAAGGAGAGAATGACTCCTGGGTGCATGGTCTTGAACTCCACAGTGACCTAGCCTACTGTGAACTGGGTCAAATAGTATCAGCATCCTGAACCATTAGATCACTCTTCTCTCCTCTTTTGAAGAAGTCAGAAATCAGATGACAGAGAAGCAAGACAATGGGGTAGAAGCTTCCATTATTGCCTCCAGCTGCATTTACCCCTGCAAGCCACTTCAAGTGGACTCTTGCAGACTCAAGTACGTAGGAGCAGGAGACAAGTCAGAACTTGATCCTACAGCAGTTATCCTCATGTATCTGAAAAGCTGTGATTGGGGAATGAGAGACGATTGTTGTTGAGGATGGGTGAGAGGTAAAGTCACAGCCAGTGGATACAGAAAAACAGATTTAGGTTTGTGGTCATCAAACCAGTCCAGCAATGGAATGGGCTGCCTTGTGAGGTGGGTAGTCTTGGGCAAGGAAGCTATTTCAAGACTGCATGATGCTTGGTAAGGATCCTATAGATCAGCTCTACTCCAGATGTAGTCTGACATTGACACCAGCCTATACATTGTTGATGGTCTGCAGCTAAGTAAATTCAGAAATTGAGAGCAAGCATTTATAAGGTTTTCTAGCAACTTGATACAATAATTTTGTATTTGTTGAATCAAATAATAATAAAAATAACCCAAATAATTTGGGCTTGTATATTACACATTTAATTTCATGCCTCAAATAACTTATCTTTTATAAAATAATGAGCCAAGTGAGGTGGCTCGTGCCTGTAATCCCAGAATTTTGGGAGGCTGAGGTGGGGGGATCACTTGAGATCAGGAGTTTGAGACCAGCCTGGCCAACATGGTGAAACCATCCCCCCCACCATCTCTACTAAAAATACAAAAATTAGCTGGATTTGGTGGCAGGTGCCTGTAATCCCAGCGACTTGGGAGGCTGAAGCAGGAGAATCACTTGAACCTGGGAGGCAGAGGTTGCAGTGAGCTGAGATTGCGCCACTGCCCTTCAGCCTGGCTGACAGAGCAAGACTCAATCTCCAAAAAATTAAGTAAATAAAATCAAAATAAATAAATAAAAGCATTGGTTTGTGCTTTACCATAGATAGTTTGAGAAACACCCATGCAGAGGGTTTTCTGGTACTGGGTAGAAAGTCTGGGCTGTCCCCATTTTAAGGCCCTTACCTAGTAAGATTGAATTGTATACATTTTAATGAGTAAAGTATGCAAATTGCCTAGCACAGTTGTAGGCACATAATTGGTACTCAGTACAGTCTCTCTTATCCTAATCACATGATTGTTAAACCTTAAAGGTGAACCCTTGGTGCACAAAAATGAAAATAATGTATTTACATGGGAGGGAAGTTGGAAACTTTATCAATTGCAAAATCTTTGCATCTGCAACTTCCGATACACGCCTGCAAAAATACGCATGCATACATATCCCTGCTTATGCTTTCTCCACATTGCGGGCCTCTGAAAATAGCCTTTTCTTTTTTCTTTCCTTTTCTGCCACGGGTTTTGCCATTTATCTGTATAGCACGCATCAAATGGGATAAGGTCAACAGATCGCCACTTAGAGATATCCTAGGGTTTTTTTTTTTTAACATTTCTATTTGAACTGAACTTTAGAGGCAAACATTGATATTTGAGCCCCCGTATGACAATGACTCATGAACGACCTGCAAACTGACCCCCAGTCCGGGACAAAACGGGAGCGTGAATAGCGATCTTGTTGGCCACTAGGTGGCGGCCTCAAACTCTCCTAGCTTTTACGGCAGGCGCTGCTGAAACACACTGGCTTCTATCAGTAGGACACACACAAAAGATCATCAGCGAGAAGTGAAAGACCGGCTGGAGCAAGTGAGAGTGAATTTTTTTCCCCCTGCTCAGGTGTGTGAGATATTGCATATGCAGGCAGTGAATTGGACACAGCTGACATCAAAATAAATGTATGTGCTGCATTTGGACAGATGAGACCCCAACCTGCCACGCTTTGCAGAGTGATGCTTTTTACATTTGGAGGGAGCCGTTCTCCACCATAAAGCTGGAAGGCGGCTGTGAGCCTATCCACTTTTGGCAGGTTTGTGGAGTCCAGATGTCCATCATGAAATGGGTTATTTAATGTATCTGTGGGCTGTTTGCAAAATGGGAATGCCTCCATTTTTGTAAACATCAAGTGGGCAAATGCCAAATAAATGTGTTTGCCCTCAACAGCAACGTGTACATGAGTATTAAGTGCACATAAAGGGTTCTTTCTATTCAATTCAATGCAAATCAAACATTTGCATTTCAATTAATATCTACTTAATTCTATTTCCTACACAGAAGGAGCACTATTAGGTCACTCTGCCAGACTGTGGTGTCTCATGCACCTCTTCCCTATGGGGCAATTATCAGACTTATCTGTCTGTGTATCCCTTGACTGTGGCACAATTCTGACCTTACCTTCATCCTAACTCATCATCAAATCCAACTTAACCAAGAGTAACTGGGGGAAAAAAAATAACCCTGGATTACATAAAGTGCCTTCAATATGTGATTCTGGAGAAAATAATTCATTTTGGACAGAAACCAAAATACAAGCCTTGTCAGGCTTCCAACAAAATCCAATGCTCACTCAAGGTCATCTCCATGACTTAACCTTTTATGAGTGTGAATGCATGTGCACGGGTGTGTGAGCCTTACCTCTTTGAAAATGTTAAAACAATGGATTCATTCCCCAGGGGAAAAAAAATGTATGTATGTGCATGTACTCAAAAGACTATACAGAATTTTAGGTGGTCAGAGAAATTTTAGGTGTCTATGGATTAAGAACCTACATATGCTTTATGGGTTAAGAACCTGTGCTGTATCTTCTGTGTATGGTTCAAATTGCACTGAGAACTTCATTATTTTTTCTTTTAAAAAAATTACTTGTAGAGACGTCTTGCTATGTTGCCTAGGGCTGTTCTTTAACTTATGGGCTCCGTCCTCTTGCCTTGGCCTCCCAAAGTGCCAAGATTACAGGTACAAGCCACCACACCTGGTGAAAAATCTATTAAAATTAAAACAATGACAGACGTCTAAATGCCCATCTTCTATTCTCATTCAACATGGCCAACAGGATTTCAGTAATCTCACTGATCTAATTTAGACCAAGTATTGTCGATGAATGATACCTTCCATAAACGTTCCGATGAAATAGACAAATAAATTGACTGTGTTCGACAGTTACATTGGAACAGAAGGGTAATTGTGATTAAATGCCACAAGTCAGCATGCAACCCTTCTGTAGTGCCCTTTGCACTCAAACCCTCGGCTATGTAGGAAATCACTCCTCAGGGGACTCAGAAGGATTATTTCAGATGTACTGTTCCTCTATGCCTGACAGTACTAACCTATTCTAAAATGAATGCCTCCCAGAGAGCCCAAGTCTGAGGAGACAGTGGGAACAGCATATGGAGACTGCACTGACTACTACAATCTCACTATTTAACATACTCTATTTATCTGTCTATCCCAGACGTACCAGTAGAAAACTAGCGCCTCACACGAGTTCCACCTGATCCGTATTTGTTGACCATTTTGGCCCGCCATCTCCCTCTTCTGAACCCACAGAAGGTACCATTTATACCACGTAGGAGACATTATAATTGCAGAGTGTGAATTACTGTTTTCCCAATTTCTTCTCACCACATGGGGCCAGGAAGAGTCATTCCTCTTCTTGCCTTCTATACCCCAATTCCTGGTGGGACTAACACCAGGAACACCAAATTCCTGGTCTCAGTTTCATCTCAGTAACTAAGGCAATTTTGGATGAGGATAGATATATAAGAGCCTTGGCAGATGCAGTGGCTCATGACTGTAATTCCAGTACTTCGGGAGGTCAAGGTGAGATCACTTGGGGTCAGGAGTTTGAGACAAGCCTGTTCCAATATGGTGAAACCCCATCTCTACTCAAAATGCAAAAAATTAGCCAGGTGTGGTGACGGGAGCCTATAATCCCAGCTATTTGTGAGGCTGAGGCATGAGAATCACTTGAACCCAAGAGGTGGAGGTTGCTGTGAGCCGAGATTGCACCACTGGACTCTAGCCTGGGAGACAGAGCAAGACTCTGTCAATAAATAATCAATCAATCAATAAGTAAATAAATAAATATTATAGGCCAGGTGTTGTGGCTCACGCCTGTAATCCCAACATTTTGGGAGGCTGAGGCAGGTGGATCACTTGAGGTCAGGAATTTGAGACCAGCCTGGCCAACATGGTGAAACCCCATCTCTACCAAAAATTAAAAAATTAGCCAGTGTTGTGGTGCATGCCTGTAGTCCCAGAATTGCTTGAACCCAGGAGGCAGAGGTTGCAGTGAGCCGAGATTGTGCCACTGCATTCTAGCCTAGGTGACAGAGTGAGACTGTCTCAAAAATAATAATGAAATAAAATAAACATAAAAATAAAAATTATAGTGGTCTAATATCTACCAATCTTGTGGGAGCTTTGACTCCGTCCTCTTTTTCCTCCCAGCCTAATTCTAATCTACCAAGTTGCTGCTGAGACATCATTCCCTCCGGGCAGCCTTCCTTGATTTACCTTCTCTGACTTAGTGCAGATCTCCCTCTATGTGCTCATGGCCCCCTTGCCTCTGTAGCACAGTGCTATCATACCATGTTGTGGTTGTCTGTTTATAATTCTGTCCCTCCACCAGACTGTGACAGTTGAATCATACTGAATCTGGAAAGAGATTGTGTTTTATTTTCTCTGAAACCCTAGCACGTAACACAGTGCCTGTCACATAGTAGTTGCTTTTGAAGTGATTGTGAAATTCATGGATGAGAGCTTCTC